CTGTGATGTTGTGATATGGCCTGTGTGTGTATCTTGGGGTTTCACAGAGCAGTCTGGGGATTACTGGGGGGCCGGTAGGTGCTGCAGCGAAAGTTGGGGAAAAAGCCAGGCCTCTCCTTTCCCCTCCCTCCCTCTCTCCAGTACTAATGAGTGACCTTGAGAGATCGCAACTGCTTCCTGGAGTTCCAGGGGTAAGCAGAACCAAGGGCAGCGTTTGCTGTTGAGATCCCAGCACAGTTTCACTTGAGCGTAAACGGATGAAGGTAGTGGAGGGATGGGGGCGTCTCAGGTGACTTTGCAACACTGCTGAACGGGAGAGACCAGCACATGTCGGATCCCAGGTTTAGATCATTGAGCTCATTTGAAGTTGGCAATTTTAGTGCATCCACTAGGTCAGTTTGCGTTTGTGCGTGTTCTTCTCCCACGTGGTTTGGTTTGTTAGACCCTTCGCTGCCGTGCCCAGATGAGTTATTTCTGTGGGGTGACTGGGATTGAGCCACCATAATGTGGTATCTTTTTGTTTAATCCAGTTCTTATGTAAGCTTTCAACGTATAGAGTAGTTTGTTCAAGGTAAAGCACTTCTGTTTTTTTCAAAAAGAAGAATTCAGGTCGTGCTTTGCAACTCGTCTTGGAATTATGGGGTAGAAATTGAAGTTTGGATCACAGCACCGTCACCCTTGAATGCCCTTCGTCAGCTGGCATGGTGCCACCTGCTTCTTAACTAAAAACATAATTATTCTGGAGATACACATCTGCCTGGAATGCTTTGGCTTTCTGCAGCAAAGAGTCCTCCCATTTTCTTACAAGGCCCTGGCTGAGTGTGGACCTCTCTGCCCCTCGCAGAGGAAGGTGAGGAAGTGCAGGCAGTGGAGAGCTGGACTGAGGGGGTCGTCCCCACGAGGGGTGGAGGTCCCCTTCAGTGGGGCGATGCTTTGGCTGGAGCAACAACCGACTGAGGGGAAGGCAGGGAGAGAGGATACCTCCCACCCCCACCTGGCCTACGTGCGCACACACCGTCCCCTTTGCACAGTTCAAGGGAAAGTTGGAGTTTCTTTTCCAAAGCCAGGCTTGCGGTCACTAGTCCTAGTTTGTTTTTTTTAATCTTGCTGGCAATCAAACTTTAAAGGAACCAGCGTTTTGTCTTTAATGTCGATTAACTGTACATATTACCAAGTCAGGCCGATCGAAATCGGAGTCCTATTTTTGACCACGTGCCTGGAAGAGCCAGGTTTTCGGTGAAAGCGCTCTTGTGTGATCGTGGCGTGCAGAGAGACCCAGGAGTTCCTCTCCCAGGCTCTGGGTTTCTGCCTGGGCTGTCATCAAGTGCTGTGATCCTTCAAGGTGAGGGTTTTCAAAGCAGCGGCCCACCTGTGCCCCCCCTGCTGCAGTAATTACCGTGGTGCCTGGTCCCTCCGTCAGGACTAGAGGTGCCGCTGTGTTGCTCAGTCGTGTGACCGGCACACTGTGTCCTGGTGCTCAGTGTCTCCTGCACGCTCGCCTGGGGACCACGCAGGGCCCCTCGTGTGCTGCTCCTCCTCTCGCAGGTTTTTTTACATCCCTGATGGACTCGGGGTTGTGGGAAGAGAACGTGCAGCCTGACTGTTTCTTTCAGGGAAGAGAGCTGCATCTCTCAGGCTTGAAGACGGGAGATTTTTGCCCCAGTGACTCTTTCCCTCGAGCTCTCCCGGTGATCCGGCTGCGGTGCTTCAGGTGGAGCCTTCTTCAGTCCCCGGAGGAGTTGCAGAGCTGCCGTCACTGCAGCAGCAGTTGTTGCGGCCCTGCGTGAGGCGATTGCCGTTAAGCGGACAGAATGATCTTTTTCTTACCGTGTCATGATCGTTGACAGATGTAGCTTGGTTGAGTCAGGCGGGAGACCCCTTGTGCCGAGCCAGGCAGAGGAAGCAGCCTGTTGTCGTACGGCAAGCTGGCCGTATGCCTGCGTGTGCCCGTGACCTGCGGAGTCTTTGAGTCTCGGGAAGGGTTGGTTACAAAGGATTCAGGGCATGTCCAGGTCTGCCCCAGGGTGCCCTCACATGTGACGCAACAAAATCGCCTGGGCCTGCACGCCGGTGTGTTGGGCCTCACACGCAGTGCTGCCCGCATTGGGGAATGAGGAGCGTTGCACACTGGCCCTCGCTGTGTGTGAAGTTCACAGCTGGTGGCCAATGACCTGCCAATTGCAAATCCAAATGCCGAGTGTAGAAGGTGGAAGATGGTCGTAGGCAAAAAAGAAGCTGCTTTCGAGAACCGGGGCTGGACTTTGAGTCTTCAGGTGCTCATTTCGCTGTTGATCCAGGGGCGGCTCGCTCGGTTGGACTTGACTGTTCCCTTGGGGGTTTTTAAAACTCCTATCATGTCCCCTTGAAGTGACACTTGAGGTCGTTTTTCTGTGTCAGTAGGCTGCATCCCATTTAGACCTTGAATCATCCCAGTCGCTGTTCTTCATAGCTTCTTCCAGGACGGTAGAGTACGTTTTGTGAGACTGACAGTCCTGGTCTCTTGTCTCTTTGTGGACATTCGTTTGTCCAGCAGGCCTTGTTGGTGTCCCTAAACTATCAGCAGCTTCAGACGTCTGCAGGAGGCTTAAACTGGTCAAGCTTGGACTGAGCTGAGCTTGTGGAACCCTCTGCCTGCGGTCTGATCGTGGTTGATGGAGAAAGACTTGAGACCTGCAAGGGTTTGTAAGGAATCTCTGTACAGAGACCGGGGGAGGCACAGAAACGGCGCAGGTTCCTTTGCTGTTCCCCAGCTTTTGGAGACACTCCCAGTTTAAGAGGAAAGAGAGCAGGAAGTCGTCTGGGCTTTAAGTGATAATTTTAATCTCCACAGGAAACGGTCAAGTCGCCACTCAGGGCAGCAGCTCGTGTGTGTGTCTCATTTGTTTTCCTCTTCCTCCACCTCCTCTTTCATCATGTCCCCTCTCGGTAGCGGCAGAAATCACAGCATCGCGTCAGCCTCATTGGACTGGTAATTAGACAGATTGTTTTTTAATGTTGCTCGCTGAATCATTTAATTATCGGCCTTATCTTTGGCACACAAACCTGAGCACGTGCCCGCATGGGAGCTGCGCAGCTTTGACAAGGTGCCGTCTTGACGCTTGCGAGTCAAGGCTGCTCGAAAGCCATTTGTCAGTCAAGCAGCCAGCCTGTACTCTTCTATCGTGCCTGTGCTGCCTCAAGCTGCTTAGGCTTCCCTAGTCAAGTTTAAGATGTTGGTGAAAATATAAAAGAGTGCACATTCATGTAAAATTTTAACGCACTGCTGTTTTTGAAAAGAAACTAACCTTGTTCAGTGAATAATGTTTAATTCCACATTATTCTTGTGATTCGGGACCTTGGATATTTAGCGAAGAGCTATATTTAACTGCTGTCATTTTGACTGGGGTCAGGCTCATTATGGAAAACCTGGGAAATTCCAGGCTGCGTCCCCAGCCATGGAGCCTTCGCGGAAGTGAATCCAGTGTTTTGTAAGCATAACTTGAGGAAGATTGTTTTAATCCATCACCATTCGAATGGGGCTGCTGGTACGGTGGGCCGTGTCGATCTGGAGCGGTCAGGATGGGTGTTCAGTGACTGACTGGGATTGCGCTGTGCAGTTTGAGAACTGTGGCTGGGAGGGCCAGCGACAGCACAGCGCTACGTTGTGGAAAACGCCTGGAAGCCGTAGGGATAGCGTTCCTGGAGGGAACTGGGGAGAGGAAAGGTCTGTGCTGTTCACTTCCTGGGTTTTCCGTTCTTTTCCCATGCCCTCGCTGCCTTGGCAGCACAAGGGCGCGAGTCGGAATGGCACACAGGGAGTCCCAAAAAAGGCAGAAGCCCCGCAGTTGGAGTCTGACGGGGACTTCGCTCTGGTGGTTGTGCTTGCTGAACCGGAGGGTGACACTTGACACTGCTCTTCCAGGCTTCAACTGCTGGCGATTAACAGACACAGAACACATGGTGTAATCCAGCAGGCTGCTGCTCCATGTTCTACTGACTTGTCGGGCGTCTGTGTAGCACAGTATAGAAATCTTCACTTGATTTGAGAATCATTCACTTGGAAATGATAAATCCCCAGTATATGACTGTTAAGCAGTAATGTGAGACTGGTACAGAAGCTTTCTCGTATATCGAATAAAAATCGGTCTTCATCTCCCTGTTAAGCGTGGTCATGGTTTTTGCTCCATGTGCAGATTGAGAGGAGTGTGATTCCTGCCCTGCTGTGCACTCTTTATCAGTCAAGCGCCTCTCTTTTTGGCACAGCTATCTTTGTAGAGATGACACTCCCCCTGTAATTCAAACTTCTGGGTTTTTTGCAAGTAAAACTCCACAAAGAAAGAGCTCTGCGGGCGCCTGCTGCAGCCGCAAGCTCAGACACGTCAGTGAGTAGCGAATGCAGAATTTCTTGCGTGCTGTAGTAACTTGAGTGGGACTCCGCTTCAAGGAATCGGATATGGGTTTTTAAGGGTTTTTATTTTAACTGGAAAATATAGGACCATGGAAGAAAGTTTTGGTTTTCAGGTAAAATTAAAGCAAAACCATGAGGATTTTTGACAAGCGACCTTCTGTCCTGGTGTTTAACAAGGGGTTTCCAAGATCCCCTGCCTTTGGGCCTAGAAAGCGGAAATATTCTGGCCTTTTAAGGGTAGTGTAGGTGGGTCTCGGCATACTTGCGCTGGCGCGGGGTGAGGGGTTGGTCTTGCACACAGTCAGGTATGCTCAGCCTGTGCTAGTTAATTCCGGGCTGATGAAAGAGGAGGGAAGAATGGCACTGCTGTAGTGGCCGCAGTCAGGAATGCACAGCGGTGCTTGTAAATTTAGTGCTGACTGCTGGCTGCAGTACTGTATCTGGATTACTCCCAGGGATTTGTTTTTATTGTGGTTCATAACACTTATTACTGCTTTTTCATCCTTAATCGTTCTTCCTCCTCTTCATTTCTGACCCTCTCTCTTTCTTTTCTCCTTCTCCTGTTCTCTCTCCTGCCCTCCACACTCCCGCTCCGTCTCTCTCCTCCCTCCAGGAGCCAGGATGTCTGCGGAGAGTGGGTTTGGAGCAGCTGGCAGCGACGCCCAGCAGAGCCTCCAGTCCTTCTGGCCGCGGGTGATGGAGGAGATCCGGAATCTTACAGTGGTGCGTAGCTGCCCCAGCGGATATCGCACCTTCCCTGCGTCTCTGCTCCCTCTTTCTGGTGGGGGGTCTCTAAACCTGGAGAGAGCTTTGTACAAAGGGAGCCCTGTTTTCACCCCTGGCCCCGGAGTAGTAGTGTTGCAGTCTGGGGCAGGACCATGCCTTGAGTCAGCAAGCCTCCCTTCTGCTCTGTGCACTGTGCCTGGTCAGTCTGCTCCTGCTCCTCGTTTCCCTCTTTAATCCCTGATGAGCAGGCCAGCCACCCCCCCAGTCTGTGTACGGAGATTCTTGGGGCAGCAGTGAACGCAGTCCCTACATTTATTAGTGAATTAAACTCTTATAAGATCTTATTTAAATCTGAAAAAATATTATATCCATTGTTTCTGTGATGCTTTCAGTTTGTTTTCCTGTAATGCAGGAAAAAAGATGTCTTCTGCAGGCTGCCGCCCAATCTTGGGAGATTCTGGCTGTACTTTAAAAAAAAAAAAAGGCTTTATAACACGGAGGGTGATCTTATACAGCCTATTTTTTTTACAAAGCTCTGCACCCTTCGTGGCTGTACTCTGGCAATAGGCCATACTGTAAGCATGAAGAACACCAGTGTCCCCCAGTATTCCCCCTCTTCACTATACCTGACTAACTGGACTGCACACTGAGGGATCCTTCCAGACGCCTGTCCGCCCCTCTCCTCCTCTGTCTTCCTGTCCAGCCCAGGCCTCTCTCAGTTCATCGAACCGGTTATGGTTTTAAACATTGGAGGTCATTATGATCTTCAGTCCCTGACCGTCGAGCCCTAGGAGTCCCCTGGGTCAGCCGGTTCAGTGGTAAAGATGTCGAAATGCCCGAGTAAGCAGCGGTTCTGGGTGATGGCAGAGGTCACCAGCGCTGCTTCCCTTGCCTTTCAGAAGGATTTCCGGGTACAGGAGCTCCCCCTGGCTCGCATCAAGAAGATCATGAAGCTGGATGAGGATGTGAAGGTAGGAGCCTGGAGGAGCCTGTGGGCCTTGCTCCCTGTGTTTTTCTTCCTTTGGCTGTAGACCATGAGTTCCATTTCAACCAGTCTGCCTTATTTCCCCATCACAAGCAGTTGAAACCCTTTGTAGTTTCTCCCAGTTCCTCACAGTTCCCCTCTTCAGGAACATGATGCACTTCACAGCGAGCAGGCTTCTGCCTGGAGCCTGAAATCCCATCATTGCATAGTCTACCCAGTGTTTTTTTTTCTAATCTGGTTACCTTGTTGCGGTAAAGAACTTTGTCACGTCCCACAAAGTGATGAGCGGATTTTCCTGTGTTGGTTTAGCATTCCAGAATTTCTTTCCTTTTGTGACTGGAATGCATACTGGCTGCAGGGAAGTTGGCTTGTGTCAAGGTTACAGGCTCTTTAGGGCTCTCCGGCCTCTGTCTGTGTGCAGATGATCAGCGCCGAGGCCCCAGTGTTGTTCGCCAAAGCGGCTCAGATCTTCATCACGGAGCTGACCCTGCGGGCGTGGATCCACACCGAGGACAACAAGCGCAGGACACTGCAGGTAAACTGCACCTCGCGTGGGCCCCTGGCTGGGGGGGTTGCTGCACCCATCGCACACTGGCCGCCAGTTCCACCGTGCCTGGAGAAGCACCGTCCTGGACAGCTCAGGGAGCTCGAGTCGAGGGCTGGAGCTCTGCACTCTGCATAAGAACCTGTCTTGTTTGGCAGTTAACTAGCCAATGGGATCTCCTGCAGTGGCTTCTGGAAGGCATTTACTCACGTAGTTGGGAGACTTGTTCCACTCTCTCCCCACAACCTGCAGGGTGAGGACGTTCCTCCTGTTCCTGGTCTTAAATGCAGTTTCTGGGTGTGTCGTGGTCCATTCTGAAGAAGTCGGCTGGGTTGACTGTCGGGGCCTTCGAGTATTTTGAATAGGCCGCTTCACATTCACCTGTGAAATGGGGACACAAACGGAAATTAAGCAGAGGGTTCAGGCAGCTAACCTCTGGGGTTCAGTCAGTTGGCACTAATTCACCCAAGCACTTGTGTGAGGGGGGTCTGGAACACAATGTTGAAGCTCAGTTCCTGGGAACAACCTGTCAATGGGATTTCTGCTAGATAAACTCTCAAGGTCTGGCTGGGCGCTTATCCTCCAATCAGGAAGCTGCAAACAACTGAACAAGGAAGATGAGCCTAACAGCCTGGCTCTTGCATATGCAACAGTACGATGGCATCTAATGCGTCAGATTTTTCTTTTTTTAACTGGCTTGATCAGTATGGAGATTTCCCTCGTGAGGGTCTTATAAAAAAACCAGCTCCATGCTGTTGTACACATCAAAACATTACCAAAGCTTGTTGCACGCCCAAAGCCATAAATAAATAATTGTTAGAAACAGATCCTGGGCCCTGGAGGCTAGTCTGTGGGTGTATTTGTCCGTCTTCAGTCTTCCACTGTTCAGACCTGTGGTGG